TTTGTTGGGAAGGCAGTACATATTTTATTACAGAAACTGAAAACAGCCTACACGGTTTTCAAAATGAGAGTGTCCTTTCTATAACACCTCAAGTGACTTATTCACTTTAAAATGTAATAATGACATTCAGGCTTCACTTATGATTGATTTCAATCTATACATTATAAATGTATGCAGACAGAAAAGGTTCTAATCTGAAGCCCTAATAACTATAATATTTTAACACAATATGTGGAATCATTGATAATCAACTCATGTTCTTATGGACAATTTTATCACTTGCAGCAGCTCATAGTTTTATTTTCATCTCACTACTAAAGTTAACTGAATTTCTCTTGACACGATTATCTAACACACAACTCTACCACTTCATAATACTGATTTCTGTTGTGTAGTCCTATTTAAATATTTTTTTAAAAAAAATATGCATCATGACAGGATTCCTTACATGCAGGCTGCTGAATAGAAGACAACTTGTCTTAATGGTAACTACTGTCAAACACTTCAGTTAACCTCAGTTAACTTCAGTTACTAGGATCATTTGCAATTTGGCAGTATATTTTCAGTGTGGCTGGAAAATTTGTTACTCTGATGAGCAATCAGGGATAGTGAAACAGATTTTCTTAAAGATACAGAAACTAAGTTTTTGTTTTGTTTTTTGGGGGAAGGGGAAGTTAGAACAATTTATTCTTCTATTTTGTTTCAACAAATATTGATCTGGGGCCTGATCCATGGTCCACTGAAACTAATGGAAATTTTTCCATGGATGTTCATAGGCTATGGATTAGGCCAATGGAGTCCAAAACTACTCCCACTGTGTTAATGGCAAATTGACTTCTATGGGAGTTGAGATCACTCAGTCATTTACAAAATTAGGCCCTAAGACAGAATGGACTTCAAAAGCAGACATAATAGAATCTATTAAACCAATGAAATAAAGTAATTTAGAAGGAGAAAAATATTTTTGGAAGGCAATTAGGGTATGTCTATACTACATCCCTCTGTCGCCAGAGGGATGTAAATTAGACATAACAAAATTGCTAATGAAGTGGGAATTTAAATATCCGCACTTCATTAGAATAAAAATGGCCACTGCTTTTTGCCGACATGGCAATTTGCCAGAAAAAAGTGGCAGTCTAGACGGGGATCAGTCGACAAGGAAAGCCTTTTCCGACTGATCCTGTAAACCTAGTTCCTTAGACTGAGTATAGGAATCGCCACATTGGGTCAAGACCAAAGATCCATGTAGTCCAGCATCCTGTCTTTCAACGGTGGCCATTGCCAGATACTTTTCAAAGAGAATGAACTGAACGGGACAATCTTCAATTTCCATCTACTGTCATCTAGTCCCAGCATCCGGTAGGCACACCCTGAGCATGGAATTGCATTCCTGACTATAATGGCTGGTAGCCATTGATGGACCCATCTTCCATGAATATATTTAATTCTTTTTTGGAAACCAGTAAGAGTTTTTGCCTCCACAACTTCTCCTGGTAATAAGTTCCATGCATTGTGATAAGAAATAATTCCTTTCTTTGTTCTGCTGCCTATTAAGATCAAGCAGAACATATACACTGGATCTATAATTATTATGCTATACTGTACTTGTAGAGAAAGTGGGTAGATTAACTCCTCATATTGCCCAAGACACATAATATTCTCTCTCCTTGAATAAGCCCGTCATTTGAATCAATTCCAATTGGCCCCTTCTGGCTTCTCTTGGATCATCTTAAAATATAGTGTCTTTATTATATTTCATTACCCTAACTTTTTCTCCTATTTAAATTTCCCATTGATTTTAATTAATTTCTCCCTAAGCTCAAGACCTTGGAGAGCTTTTTGGTTTAAAAAAATTGGGAGAAGAAGAAGGAAGAAAAGAGACAGAGGCTTCTTCATGAGGTGGGAGTTCCCAAGTTCTCACAGCTGTAATTAAAAGTCATTCTAGTGATGGATTGGCACAAATATGTCTCAGAAGAAAACAGAGTAATGCATAAATGCTTAATGACTCATATTGAAAACTTACTTTTTTTTTAAAGTCAGGTAACAAGGACAAGCCAGATTCAGATGATGCCTGAGAATTTGCATGCTACATATATATAATTACCTTTTGACAGATTAGAGGTGGTAGTAGCATACTGCAGATCTGAATGTCAGGGCCATAGTGACACTAACAGATAATTACTATCTCCACAAATATCTGTGAATGGAATCACTTGTTTTAATACAGATAAGTTTCGTATAAAAGTTAGAGGGCTGGTATGAGAGATATGATAAATGTAGTCATGACAGAAAACAATTTTTAATTTAGTATGCCCTATCAATCTAGATAGCCCATGAATATTTACCATTAATTCAGTAGGCTGGAACAGAAAAGAGAGAGAGTGAAAGTGAGAGAAAGAAAAAGATAAAATAGAAGCTTTGACCTAAACAATGACTGTTAAAGAAAGGGAATCTTCAGCATTTCTAATACGAACAAATTTTATAGCAAGTTGAACTAGTGGCTGGATGGGGAAACATATTTGGAGAACCATTAGAAACAAATCATGTTCCTGTTGTTTTTACTTTTTCTAGCAGACAAACGGTACCAATTCCGAATATGTGCTGCTGTTTGCTAGGTGGACAACACAGCAAAAATATGTGACTTCAGTGGGCTGAAATGGAAACATTTACTGAAATTCAAAATAAGCCTATTTGATCACATTGTACTCCTCAGCAGGGATACTATGTGTAGGTGCTGAATGGGGCATATAAGTTGCTAACACAGGTTGTGTGTGTAATGAACCAAAATTCATTTATATAAATGAATTCGTTTATATAAAAGAAATGTTGCCTCCATTATTTTTAGGGTAATCTTATTAAAGATGCCACGTCCAGAATAGAAGTGTCCAGATTTTAATTAATTTTCATATCTCAATGGTCAGTCACAGGACAGAAAAGGTAACCTCTTATAACTATTAAAATATAGCACAGAATATTATATGCTAAAATCTTTACTATTGTAGCCATTCTTTCCAGCTGTATTAAAGTAACTGGCTTTTACATTTTGTACCTGTCCAAAAGAGCTAATTTCTTCTGATTCATCTGTCCAGAATATTTTTTAACTAAGGGTCTGCAGTTATCAGGAGATCAGCACTGTGGGGATCGATCTCCCATTGGTTGAATTAGCGGGACTAAGAATGACCAGCTAAAGCGACCACTGATCATACTCCCAATAACTCCAGTACTCCACTGTGTTGAGAACAGTAAGGGAAATTGACGGAAGAGTTTCTCCCATCAGCCTCCCACAGGGTGTGCCTAGACTACAGGGTTTTATCGAAAAAAGTAGCCTTTTTTAAAAAAAACTTCACCTGCATCTAGGCTGCTGCTGCTTTCTTTCAAAAGTAAATCGAAAGAATGTGGCGGTTTTTTCGATCGCGGTAAACCTCATTTTACAAGGAATAATGCCTTTTTTTCGAAAGTACTCTCGAAAAAAGGTACTATTGAATTCAAACTGTGCATTTTTGAAAGAGAGCATCTAGACTTTCAAAAAAGTGGCTCACTTTTTCGAAAAATCTGCTTGTAGTCTAGACACTGTTTCGAAAGAGGCTTTTCTTGAAAGATTCTTTCGAAAAAGCCTCTTTAGGAAGTGTATTCTAGACATAGCCACAGTGGGAATGGGGCAGTATTTCAAACTAAAATATGTCAACTTCAGCTACTCTATTCTTGTAACTGGAGTTGTGGACCTTAGTTCGACATAGACTCCTAGTGCAGGCCTGACCTATGGGAAACAGCTCCTATTTCCAACTCTTCTTCTATTGATACTATTTTTCCAGCTCTACAAAGCTTGTTTAATGTTATTGTACAGTTTAGGTAAAAATTCTGTATGAAATATGACTCTTTTAAATACTGAAGAATTTGGTTAATATTTCTAGTGTATATGGAACATAACAAGCCTATAGATATGACATGATGAAATGGTATTACAATTAATATAAACGCTAATAGACCATTAATCTAACTCATACATTTGAAGTCAGAGAGTCAATTAAATTGAAAACAAATTACTTAATATGCACCACTTTTATTTTATGCTATTGGATGTTGCTGCAGCAGAGTATTACTCTTGCCTTTTTCCTTGTGCAGGGCCCACTATCCCTGATGCTCAGCACCTTTACAAATTACCTCATCAAAGTCAGTTACATGGAGAATGATTTTTAGCAACTGACTTTTTCTGTTGGAAGATTATAGATACAACACTTATTTAAAATCATTGGTATCGTTTATTAAAATATTTGAAAAGTACAGAGCTCTTCTTCAGGTCTAGGAGACTAACTCAGCATGTGACTGCGAAATATAAGCACCTTGTAGAAGAAGAAGTCTGTGTGAGCTCTAAAGCTTTTCTCCCTAACAGAAGGTGGTCCAATAAAATATATTTCCTTAATCACCTTGTCTCCAGTGGGGCTGACAGCCATCTTGGATCCCAGGGCAAGGTGTGTGTTTGGGACTCTGGGTCCTCACAGGATCAGGGCCAAGGGAGGCCAATCCCTAATGTTGCACGAACTGCAGCTTTGCCTCCCCTCCAGCCTACAGAATGCCTATTATGGTGCTCCAGTAGTGATTCAAAGGGGTATAGGGCTCTGGACATTGTTGTTGCTACTGTGGCAGCGACAGTGTCCAGGAGCCCCAGGCCCCTAAGAATCACCAGGCCCTGGGGCAATTGTTTACTTTGCCCTGCTCCCCCACACCAGTGGACCAAAACAGCTAAAAAAATACTGTATATACAAGTGCAGTCTTTTATCTAGATCCTGAAGAAATAATTCAGACCTAATTTGATATGTTCTTTGTTCTTTGTAATATTTATTTTGTTTTCTCCTTACTAGACTATAAAGTAGTAGATGAGACAGAAAAGCCATTTAGGATCTCATTTATGTAACACAATATAATAATGATGCAGCTTCTGTGATCAGGGTCATGTATATATAAAAGACACCAAATCCATAAGAACATAAATTCCATGTTACCTTTCTCAATGTGTATTCTTTTTGTCTCATGTCCAACCTCATGACCAGCCAGATCACCCTCTTTAGGGCCAGGTAGAATGTTAGGCGATAAACCCATCAGCATCTGGTTCATGGACAGCCCATTCTGATGTACAGCTGCTAGTCATACATATAAACAGACATAAATCCAACACAACATTACTCATGTTTTTTTTTAAGATACTTTCTTAATTTTATAGTTCCTTTTTGGATTTGATCCCTATTTGACCCAAGGAAAGTATGGAAAATATGCAGAGCTCTCCTATTTCATGACCACAGAATTTAACAGAAAATCCAGGGCATTGTTGTAGCATGTTACACTACAATCTATGATGTTATTTTTAAAATCTGTCTCTATTACTCAGTAATATTGAAAATGTGATTCAAATCTAAATCAGCACAGTGGTACCTTCCTAAGTCTGCAAGCAGTCTGAAAAATCCAGGCAATGGAATTTATCTAAAATCCTAAAATGCATCTTTATGTTTAAAATCTCAAATATCTCCTATTAAGGGACCAAAACTTTCAGTTTCCCCAACTGACAACTTTAACAAAGCAGTGATGTGTTGTTAGTATAAAAGGCTTATTGGCTAATCTTGTGGACAACATTGACTCCCCCAACCTGCTAGCTCTGTATCAGAGGCAGCAAGGCGGGGAGTGGGAGCTGGTGCCCTGCCCATGAGGAACTGGCTTTAAGCAGGCTCTCCATAAGCAGTAGATTAGTTTGCTCTCTAACCCCCATGCTGCTGCCTCTGCTAGAGAAGCAGCAGCAGCATGGAGCATGAGTGGGGCAGGCTGGAGCCAATACATGCAGCGAGCAGGCTTTCAGGCAGATTCCCCATGTGTGCTGGCTCCATGGACCCACCTGCTCCCTTCCCACCACTGCCTCCTATAGAGGAAGCAAGGGTGGGCAGGCAGAAGCCAGTTCCTTCCAGCACCAGATTTGTGGTGCCGTCTGCCCTCCCCGCATAAGCTTCTGCCTCTATCAGCAGCATGGGGGCGGGGGAAGAGCGCCCCTTGTCCTCCCATCAGAGGCAGCAGCGCCGGGTCAGGGAGGGCAGGGGAGGCTGCTATAAAGCAGCCTCTGTCGATGGTGGCTCAAGTTTGCTGCAGACAAGAGGCTGATCCATGGCAGCAGCACCTGTCCACGGGCTTCTGAGCTCCCCACAGACAGAGGCTGCTCCGGCATCCCATGGAGTAACTTCTGTCCAGGGTGAGCTTGGTCCCCCTCATCCCCCCGCAAACAGGGGCTGCTACTGTGTATCAGCCTCTGTCCATGGGGAGCTTGGACCCACATGGACAAGAACTGCTGCCATCCCGTGTTGCTGCCTCTGTATTAGAGGCAGCAGCATGGAGCGGCAGGCAGATTGTCTGTGTGGGGAGCTGGTTTTTAAACGGTCTCCTCTGGAAGACCAGCTCCCATCTGCCACCCTGTGCTGCTGCCTCTGATACAGTTACACGATATCTAACATCTCTACAACAAATCCTCACCATAGAACTATCATAAAAATGACATTATTTTAAAATTTCACAGTGCAATTTGACTCTGTTTCTTGTGAGTTCTGAAGTGATAATATTTCTTATGTCACATTCCCTACCATAATGTTTTTATATTTATGGGTATGTCTACACTACCCTCCTAGTTCGAACTAGGAGGGTAGTGTAGACATACCCATAAATATAAAAACATTATGGTAGGGAATGTGACATAAGAAATATTATCACTTCAGAACTCACAAGAAACAGAGTCAAATTGCACTGTGAAATTTTAAAATAATGTCATTTTTATGATAGTTCTATGGTGAGGATTTGTTGTAGAGATGTTAGATATCGTGTAACTGTATCAGAGGCAGCAGCACAGGGTGGCAGATGGGAGCTGGTCTTCCAGAGGAGACCGTTTAAAAACCAGCTCCCCACACAGACAATCTGCCTGCCGCTCCATGCTGCTGCCTCTAATACAGAGGCAGCAACACGGGATGGCAGCAGTTCTTGTCCATGTGGGTCCAAGCTCCCCATGGACAGAGGTACACTATGCAGATTTTAAAAATATATATTTCACCTAATTTTTTAAAAAGCCCCAATTCCATCACATAAAATGTCACTTTTGAAGCCAGGTTTAATTTTAAAGTCCAACTAGAGTAACAGGATTAAATAAAACTGTAAAATAGAAAAATGTATCTCAATCTGTATATGTTCATTTCTGAAACTAGTCTAGCAAATGGCTTTCCTGGTGCAATTCTGTTCCATAGTTTATATCTTTATGCTTAATATGACATAATGCTTATGCTTTATATCTTAATATGCTTTATGCTTAATATGCTTAATAATGCTTTATGCTTAATATGACATAATTATATCAGTACCTATTAATGAAGATTCATACATTGTGATATTATGAACTGTGGAACTTAATGTTGAGCGATAGCTATTGCATCTGAACTTCAGAACATGATCCATCTGAGATCTACTTAGAATAAAGGTGTTTTTATTCAAATAATTACAAGTGAATCTAGTCAAATCTAAAATGGTGACAAGGAGAAGAACGTGACTTACGGATTCTGTCTGAAGAGCTCTCAGTCCGTGCAGGTGAACTAGACACACTGCTGCTTCGATGAGATGATGGATGGCTGCCAGGTCTTCGACCTTCTTCAAGGGAAGGAGCAGGAGAAGGGCTGTCTGGAACACGTTCCTACACCCCCCCAAAAATGAGACAACAAAATAAATACAACAGCCTTCCTGACTATTGAACATTATTTTTATAGCTCCTTGTTATATGGGAAATCTCTAATCCTATTCTGATAAGTTACTCTTGTTGAGTCCTTGGGTTTAACACTTCAAGATACATGATTCTCAGAGGAAGTTTCTAGAGCACCAGAGCATGAGTTTTATAATGCAGCAAAAGATTTAACCATTCCAGAAGGTTTTTTAACTGATTCCTTCTACTATATTTAATAGGCAATTTGTTTTTTCATTGAATTCTGTTTGCAAAAATTAATTTAGGTTGTTTTGAGTGGTTGCAGTTACCAGTATCCTGAGAAAATGGATGCTATTATACTTTTATAAATAAATAAGGGCAAGACTCTGACATCGTTATCCATGTGTGTAAAACCTTACTTTTCAAATGGTCACAAACATCTCAATGGGACTATGGGTTGAACAAAATGTGCCCAAAACTGGGGCATAAATAAAGAAACATCCGTTTATTTATGTTTGCCCAGCAGGAAATTTTTGATATACAAACAAGTTGCAGCAAAAATGCTTTGTGTTCATGAGTACTCAATTTTTTTAATTGCATCCTTTCTAAAATAGGCAGGGCCTCTGTTGATGAAAAACCTGTACTAGAAGTGAATATCTAATATTTATGTAGCATTGTGCACAAAGAATGAGCAAAGGAAGCAGGTTCTGGGGCTTGCCTTGTGCTGCATGTGCCAGAGTTCCCAGAAGTAGAGGAACTATGGCTCCCTTCCAGCCAGATCCTACATGCCAGGGCAGTCAGAGGGTCCATGTGGTGCCTCCACCACATCTGGAAAGACTGTGCTATGTGGGAGTATTAAGAGTTTTGAGCCAGGCCTGGAGGCACTGAGGTATAAGGAATTGTAAAGAGAATGGAGGTAACCATTAGAGTTATTACTGAAGGCCTTATGCCCTTCAAAGGAAGGATCCTCAATCATATTCTGAACTTCCTTGGGCAGACTGAGGCTTGCAACCAAGAAGTTCAGTGCATGATGACATCAGTTGCCATTGAACATGAGGCTGTGTATGCTTGCTGAGGGAAACTTGCAGAATATATTTTAAATCACCTGGCCTTTGACAATGAGGGCTAGAAACTGGTCTCTTTAGTTAGGGGATAATGGTAAAAAAAATTTGATTTTTTTCCACCGTTTGTGAAATCATACTTTGCCATACAATAACAAA